AGCACCGGGACACGGGAGGGAAGACAACCAACAAGGTATTTAACAGACAAGGTTTTGAGAAGGGGGGAGGGGAGATAAATGTTGGACCTGGGAGTGAAGAGTGCGCACTGTGCGCACGCCGATGACAGTGACTATGGAGAAAGAAGACGCTTACAACAGGAAGTGACCGGGTGTAAATATCAAATAATATCGTATTACCTCCTCGACTTCCACCAATGTCTCCTCTCTACTTCCTCCCAGCTGCCCTTAAACCTGGAACTTCCTTATACTTGTATATCATTTCCTGCTGTTGTTGACATCACTTCCTATCTGTTGTTGACCATTGCCTGTATGATTCTGACATCACTTCCTGTCTGTGACATCACATCCTGTCTGTGACATCACTTCCTTTCTGTGGATTCCAAGTCAGGTCACCGCCTTGTGTTGAATGTGAATACTACAGACTAGGTTACGTCTCATCGTGTTGTCCTCGGGCTCCGTTCCTCTATGACGTCACATCCAGCAGGGATCGGAGGGTGCACACATGTGGGAGAGTAGCGGGGATCGGAGGGGGCACACATGTGGGAGAGTAGCGGGGCTCGGAGGGGGCACACATGTGGGAGAGTAGCGGGGCTCGGAGGGGGCACACATGTGGGAGAGTAGCGGGGCTCGGAGGGGGCACACATGTGGGAGAGTAGCGGGGCTCGGAGGGGGCACACATGTGGGAGAGTAGCGGGGCTCGGAGGGGGCACACATGTGGGAGAGTAGCGGGGCTCGGAGGGGGCACACATGTGGGAGAGTAGCGGGGCTCGGAGGGGGCACACATGTGGGAGAGTAGCGGGGCTCGGAGGGGGCACACATGTGGGAGAGTAGCGGGGCTCGGAGGGGGCACACATGTGGGAGAGTAGCGGGGCTCGGAGGGGGCACACATGTGGGAGAGTAGCGGGGCTCGGAGGGGGCACACATGTGGGAGAGTAGCGGGGCTCGGAGGGGGCACACATGTGGGAGAGTAGCGGGGCTCGGAGGGGGCACACATGTGGGAGAGTAGCGGGGCTCGGAGGGGGCACACATGTGGGAGAGTAGCGGGGCTCGGAGGGGGCACACATGTGGGAGAGTAGCGGGGCTCGGAGGGGGCACACATGTGGGAGAGTAGCGGGGCTCGGAGGGGGCACACATGTGGGAGAGTAGCGGGGCTCGGAGGGGGCACACATGTGGGAGAGTAGCGGGGCTCGGAGGGGGCACACATGTGGGAGAGTAGCGGGGCTCGGAGGGGGCACACATGTGGGAGAGTAGCGGGGCTCGGAGGGGGCACACATGTGGGAGAGTAGCGGGGCTCGGAGGGGGCACACATGTGGGAGAGTAGCGGGGCTCGGAGGGGGCACACATGTGGGAGAGTAGCGGGGCTCGGAGGGGGCACACATGTGGGAGAGTAGCGGGGCTCGGAGGGGGCACACATGTGGGAGAGTAGCGGGGCTCGGAGGGGGCACACATGTGGGAGAGTAGCGGGGCTCGGAGGGGGCACACATGTGGGAGAGTAGCGGGGCTCGGAGGGGGCACACATGTGGGAGAGTAGCGGGGCTCGGAGGGGGCACACATGTGGGAGAGTAGCGGGGCTCGGAGGGGGCACACATGTGGGAGAGTAGCGGGGCTCGGAGGGGGCACACATGTGGGAGAGTAGCGGGGCTCGGAGGGGGCACACATGTGGGAGAGTAGCGGGGCTCGGAGGGGGCACACATGTGGGAGAGTAGCGGGGCTCGGAGGGGGCACACATGTGGGAGAGTAGCGGGGCTCGGAGGGGGCACACATGTGGGAGAGTAGCGGGGCTCGGAGGGGGCACACATGTGGGAGAGTAGCGGGGCTCGGAGGGGGCACACATGTGGGAGAGTAGCGGGGCTCGGAGGGGGCACACATGTGGGAGAGTAGCGGGGCTCGGAGGGGGCACACATGTGGGAGAGTAGCGGGGCTCGGAGGGGGCACACATGTGGGAGAGTAGCGGGGCTCGGAGGGGGCACACATGTGGGAGAGTAGCGGGGCTCGGAGGGGGCACACATGTGGGAGAGTAGCGGGGCTCGGAGGGGGCACACATGTGGGAGAGTAGCGGGGCTCGGAGGGGGCACACATGTGGGAGAGTAGCGGGGCTCGGAGGGGGCACACATGTGGGAGAGTAGCGGGGCTCGGAGGGGGCACACATGTGGGAGAGTAGCGGGGCTCGGAGGGGGCACACATGTGGGAGAGTAGCGGGGCTCGGAGGGGGCACACATGTGGGAGAGTAGCGGGGCTCGGAGGGGGCACACATGTGGGAGAGTAGCGGGGCTCGGAGGGGGCACACATGTGGGAGAGTAGCGGGGCTCGGAGGGGGCACACATGTGGGAGAGTAGCGGGGCTCGGAGGGGGCACACATGTGGGAGAGTAGCGGGGCTCGGAGGGGGCACACATGTGGGAGAGTAGCGGGGATCGGAGGGTGCACACATGTGGGAGAGTAGAGGGGATCGAAGGGTGCACACATGTGGGAGAGTAGCTGGGATCAGAGGGTGCACACATGTGGGAGAGTAGCGGGGAATGAGGTGCACCCTGATAGTCAGGAGCTGACCCGAGTAGAGTCCGGGACGAGCCAATGTTGTGCTTGATGCTCGGGACTTCCTGTATTGATTCCTGTGTTTGTTCTCTGACTTGCGGCATGAAAGTGAAGGACAAACCTGCCGGGACTGTTCCCCTGTGTCCCACGGGTGACTCGCTCCCCCCTGTGTCCCGGCCTCATGGACGGGTGACTCGCTCCCCCCTGTGTCCCGGCCTCATGGACGGGTGACTCGCTCCCCCCTGTGTCCCGGCCTCATGGACGGGTGACTCGCTCCCCTTGTGTCGCTCAGTTCTGTTCCTGACCACAGTTGGGCCTGTGAGAAAACCTGTTTTCGGGTCGCACACACTTATAGGACTGCAACTAATCGTTCATTTCATAACCGATTAGTTGGCCGATTATTATTTTTTCCCCGATTAATCGGTTAAAGGGGAAAAAATGAAATACACGAGCGGCGCAAAGTTACAAGCAATGTTTATTTCAGAATAAAACGGCATGCACATTTTTTATTTTGCAATCGCCCGGCATTGCAGTACCGTGCGTTCCCAGTGCGGGCGGGGGAGGCGCGTTTGGGGGTTGCCACGAACAGCGCACCGCTGCGCACATCCTGCGGCTGAATTTGTTAAAATTACTTTTTATTTGTAATAATTGGATGCATTACATTCGACGTTTAATTTGGTTTCGTGGATTTAAATTGAAATGAATTGTAATAATAAAATAGCCGAACGTTTTTGTTTTTTTAATGAAATAAAAGCCCGGTCATCGGTTTCGGGTCAGCCGTGATTGTGGGCCGGGGGATTATTGCTCTGAGTCCGGCGCACGCGGCGACACCCCACATGTGTAACAGTAGCCAATAGCAGGCTGGCTATTGCATCCGCCCGCTGCCTGCTGTCAATCAGTGGGCGGACGGAGACTCCATAGGGATACAGACTCCACCCACCCGGCATAGATGCCCAATCTAAATCTGCTCCCCCGTGTGCCCCCCTCTTCTGCCGGCGCTCTATCAGTCCCTTGGAGATAGAACACCGGCGTCAAGTGTCCCGTCAGCGACTGGAAACGATAACCAGCCCGCTATTGGCTATTTTTATTTGCAGTAGCCAATAGCAGGCTGGCTATTGCTCCCGCCCATTGCCTGCTGTCAATCAGCAGAGGAGGACCTGCAGGAGAACTTTCTACTTTTAGTTCCCTCCTCTGCTGATTGACAGCGGGCAGTGGCTGGGAGCAATAGCCAGCCTGCTATTGGCTACTGCAATTTAAAATAGCCAATAGCGGGCTGGCTATTGTTTCCAGCCGCTGACGCCGGTGTTCTATCTCCGAGGGATTGATAGAACACCGGCAGAAGAGGGGGCGGGGAGCAGATATAGATTGGACATGTATGCCGGGTGGGCGGAGTCTGTATCCTTATAGTCTAGATACACATAGAAAGGGACTCGCACGGCTTCTATTAGTATACGGTATATACTCTCCTGTGTTCTATTCATCTGGTTCTGGGATCCAATAAACACTCTACACAGATCCGAGGTCACCTCATGCATTCTACGTCTTCCTTTTCCCAACACACATAACAATATATATATGTATACACCTTCTATCACTACACACATTACATGGCCTCTATGAGGGGATACCGCCTTCCCCCCGCCCCTCATATCATGCCGGGGTGAACCCCTTTATAAACAAATTCTTTATCCTCCAGTGGTCCTTTTGGACTAAACAATTTCACTCGTGAAAAGGCATTGCACATTCGTCAGAAGAATCAGCAGCTCCGTTTGCTCCGGCTCAGCTTCTATCTGTGAAACGTTTTCCGCACTGTCGGCGCAGTCGGGGCGCAGTTCGGTGGTGTGTATTTTCTGGTGGTTCCTAAGGTGTCCTTTCTGAATGAAGGTTTTCCCGCACTCCGGACACGAATAGGGACGCTCGCCCGTGTGAATCCTGTGGTGTCTAAGGAGATCTCCTTTTTTAAAAAAGCATTTGCCGCACTCGGAACACGAATAGGGACGCTCGCACGTGTGAATCTTCTGGTGCTCGTTAAGTTTCCCTCTCTCGACGAAAGTTTTCCCGCACACCGAGCACAAATAGGGGCGCACGCCTGTGTGAACTCTCTTGTGCCTAACCAGGTCTGATTTCAAAATGTAACATTTCCCGCACTCTGAACATGAATACGGACGCTCGCCGCTGTGAGTTCTCTGGTGTGCAATGAATTTTATTTTGTGAGTGAAAAATTTCCCGCACGAACATGAATATGGACACTGACCCGTGTGAAATTTCTGGTGCAGAAGAAGTTTGTTTCTCTCAGTGAAACCTTTTCCACACTCTGAACAGGAAAAGAGATACTTGCGCGTGTGAGTGCTGAGGTGTTTATCAAGGCCTCCTTTGTCTAAGAAACATTTCCCGCACTCTGAGCATAAGTAAGGGCGCTCGCCAGTGTGAATCCTCTCGTGTTTAACAAGGTGCGCTTTCAGTCTGAAAGATTTCCCGCACTCTGAACATAAATGAGGACGCTCACCTGAGTGAGTTCTTTGATGCTTCCGAAGATGCGCTCTGGCGGCAAAACATTTTCCGCACTTCAAACATGAAAAGGGGCGCTCCCCCGTGTGAGTTCTCTGCTGCTGTACAAGTTTTTCTTTCTCACTGAAACATTTCTCGCCCTCTGAACGTGCGTGTGCTTGCTCTTCCGTGTGGATTTTCTGGTGTTGAAGAAGGTTTTTTTTCTGCTTGTAAGACTTCCCGCACTCTGAGCACGAATGGGGGCGCACACTTGTGTTAATTATTTCGTGTTTTTCAAGTGATGTTTTCTGCCCGAACGATTTCCCGCACTGTGAACACAAAAAGGGGGGCACCTCTGTGTGAATTTGCTGGTGTTGAAGAAGTTTTCCTTTGTCAGTGAAACTTTTCCCACACTCTGAACATGAAAAAGGGGGCTGAGCCGTGTGCATTTTTTGGTGTTTATGAAGTGCTGTTCTCTGCCTGAAAGTTTTCCCGCACTGTGAACACGAATAGGGGCGCACACCTGTGTGGATTCTCCGGTGCTGAAGAAGTTTTGCTTCCTCAATGAAACTTTTCCCGCACTCTGAACACGAATATGGCCGATCACCCGTGTGGATTCTCCGGTGCTGAAGAAGTTTTGCTTCCTCAATTAAACCTTTCCCGCACTCTGAATATGGCCGATCACCCGTGTGACTTTTCTGGTGTTCAAGAAGTATCCTTTTCACCTTGAATGATTTCCCGCACTCTGAACATGAATAGGGACGCTCACCTGTGTGAATCCTCTGGTGTCGTAGAAGTTCCTTTTTCACCTTGAAAGATTTCCCGCACTCTGTACACGTATAGGGGCGCACACCCGGGTGAATCCTCTGGTGTAGGAGAAGTGTTCTTTTCTCCTTGAAAGATTTCCCGCACTCTGAACACCAATAGGGGCACACACCTGTGTGAGTTCTCTGATGAACTACAAGAACTCCTTTCTGAGTGAAACTTTTCCCGCACTCTGAACATGCATATGGCCGCTCACCCGTGTGAAGTCTCTGGTGTCGAAGAAGGGTTTGTTTGCGGGGGAAACTTTTCTCACACTCCGAGCACGAATATGGTCGCTCACCCGTGTGAACTATCTGGTGCTCAAGAAGTATCCTTTTCAACTTGAAAGATTTCCCGCACTCTGAACATGAATACGGTCGCTCACTTGTGTGAATTTCCTGGTGTAGGAGGAGTGTTGTCTTCACCTTGAAAGATTTCCCGCACTCTGAACATGAATAGGGGCGCACACATGTGCGAGTCCTCCTCTGGTGTCGGAGAAGTGCCTTTTTCACCTTGAAAGATTTCCCGCACTCTGTACACGGATAGGGGCGCACACATGTGCGAGTTCTCTGGTGTCGGAGAAGTGTTCTTTTCTCCTTGAAAGATTTCCCGCACTCTGAACACCAATAGGGGCACACACCTGTGTGAGTTCTCTGATGAACTACAAGAACTCCTTTCTGAGTGAAACTTTTCCCGCACTCTGAACATGCATATGGCCGCTCACCCGTGTGAAGTCTCTGGTGTCGAAGAAGGGTTTGTTTGCGGGGGAAACTTTTCCCGCACTCCGAGCACGAATATGGTCGCTCACCCGTGTGGGATCTCTGGTGTCGCAGGAGATCTCTTTTTCGAACATAACTTTTCCCGCATTCTGGACATGAATGAAGACGGTCGCCCGTGTGGATCCTCTGGTGCAGGAGAAGTGATCTTTTCGACTTGAAAGATTTCCGGCACTCTGAACATGAATGCGGCCGCTCTCCTGTGAGATCTCCTTCGGGGCTTACAGAAGGTTCCTCAGTATTAGACGGATCTCTTGATCTCTCCGCACTGTGAGGACCTTGATGGACATCTGAGGTCATGTGACGTGACTGATCAGAAGGTTCCTCAGGATTGGACGGATCCATCGATCTCTCTGAACGGGAAGAATTGACTTTGGGAGAATGTTGCGCAATGTCGCCGTCTTCTGCTTCTCCGTCTGGAGATATAATAAGACGTCCCTCCGATGTCTTTATATTCCACTTCTGTACATCTGTGAGAGAGTAATGATGAGTACATGTTATATTTGTATCCGTCTTCCCTTCAGGTTCCGTATATATCCTTCAGGGGTCGTATCTATCCTTCAGGGGCCGTATCTACCCTTCAGGGGCCGTATCTATCCTTCAGGGGCCGTATCTATCCTTCAGGGGCCGTATCTATCCTTCAGGGGCCGTATCTATCCTTCAGGGGCCGTATCTATCCTTCAGGGGCCGTATCTATCCTTCAGGGGCCGTATCTATCCTTCAGGGGTCGTATCTATCCTTCAGGGGCCGTATCTATCCTTCAGGGGCCGTATCTATCCTTCAGGGGCCGTATCTATCCTTCAGGGGCCGTATCTATCCTTCAGGGGCCGTATCTATCCTTCAGGGGTCGTATCTATCCTTCAGGGGTCGTATCTATCCTTCAGGGGTCGTATCTATCCTTCAGGGGCCGTATCTATCCTTCAGGGGTCGTATCTATCCTTCAGGGGCCGTATCTATCCTTCAGGGGCCGTATCTATCCTTCAGGGGCCGTATCTATCCTTCAGGGGTCGTATCTATCCTTCAGGGGCCGTATCTATCCTTCAGGGGTCGTATCTATCCTTCAGGGGTCGTATCTACCCTTCAGGGGCCGTATCTACCCTTCAGGGGCCGTATCTACCCTTCAGGGGCCGTATATATCCTTCAGGGGTCGTATCTATCCTTCAGGGGTCGTATCTATCCTTCAGGGGTCGTATCTATCCTTCAGGGGTCGTATCTACCCTTCAGGGGCCTTATCTACCCTTCAGGGGCCGTATCTATCCTTCAGGGGTCGTATCTATCCTTCAGGGGTCGTATCTACCCTTCAGGGGCCGTATCTACCCTTCAGGGGCCGTATATACCCTTCAGGGGCCGTATATATCCTTCAGGGGCCGTATCTACCCTTCAGGGGCCGTATCTACCCTTCAGGGGCCGTATCTATCCTTCAGGGGCCGTATCTACCCTTCAGGGGCCGTATCTACCCTTCAGGGGTCGTATCTATCCTTCAGGGGCCGTATATATCCTTCAGGGGCCGTATATATCCTTCAGGGGTCGTATCTATCCTTCAGGGGCCGTATCTATCCTTCAGGGGTCATAACTATCCTTCAGGGGCCGTATCTACCCTTCAGGGGCCGTATCTATCCTTCAGGGGCCGTATCTACCCTTCAGGGGCCGTATCTACCCTTCAGGGGTCGTATCTATCCTTCAGGGGCCGTATCTATCCTTCAGGGGCCGTATATATCCTTCAGGGGTCGTATCTATCCTTCAGGGGCCGTATCTATCCTTCAGGGGCCGTATCTATCCTTCATCATTGGATGCATCCATAACAGCAAACTACAAATACCACCCCCATCCATCATACAAACGTCACAAGGAAATTACATTGTCATGGTGAAGAATATTGATGGACCTTCATATGGTGTACAGTATCTCCTCCTCATTTGTTGGTCACATGACGTTATATTGAGGAATGGAGATGGACCTTCATATGGTGTCCAGTATCTCCTCCTCATTTGTTGGTCACATGACGTTATATTGAGGAATGGAGATGGACCTTCATATGGTGTACAGTATCTCCTCCTCATTTGTTGGTCACATGATGTTGTGTTTATGACTTACTTGTGTCCGTATGTAGAGAAGATTCCTCCTGTTCACTCTTCACCATCACCTCCCCCTCCTCCATAGACTGCTGAGCTCCTCCCACCAACGTCTCTTCTTCTTCTACTTTTACCTCAACTCTGATGTCTTCCAGATCTTCATCCTAAACCCCGAAGATGACGGAACAGATATGTGACCGGGAAGAGATTACATCGGGGAACGTCTCCTCATAGCTCAGAATACATCTTTATATCTACACGCCGAGTCCCACCTACCTGGCCATGGTGGGGGAGGGTGAGATCTTCCTGGGTGGGATCCCGGGAATACAGAGGACGGGGACATCTCTCTGGTGGGTTCCTCTTACTGGATCCATCTGTAGG